GTGATCATTCAAAGCAGACCTATTTCCCCCGTTTGCTAATAGCATACATTAGACCACACACCTATTATGTAATACAAACTAGGAATTCATAGCTAATTTTCTACCAGAATGCACTCAAATGTCCGCAGAGAATAGAAACCAAAATGATCAAGGGGTTACAATATAAAACCCACGGTGCAAGACTGCATATTATGGGAATCTGTTCGTCTGAATAGCGTTGAATACGAGGAGGCATGATCCTCGTATATCACATACTGCGCCAACCTAACCACCTGTCTCGTACTTTACTAACACTATATGGTCACCTCAGGGACATCCATTTAGATTTGTGCTCTAAAATAGTTGGCTAGATTGCAGGTCTCACCCTTTCAGTCCCAGAGTTTGTAGTACCTGGAGCTGCCTTACACCTGAAATTGNCCATCGATTCATTCAAGTCACGGTTAGATGAAGCATTGAAACAACTAATTCTGTACAGCACCCGTGAATGAACGTTATAATTTGCTATTTAAGTGTACTGCAACCGAACTCAGTGTAAACAGATTTTATGGGATTCAATGAGCATCTGCATTGTAATTTATCCATGAGAAAAATTTGAATATAAACCATTTCTGACTAGCTGGGAAGTGGCAAGAATTAAAAATTTATGCGAGTTATTTTGCTTTTCTGGTCGTCGAAACTAGAAAGTTGTAAAATGGTTGCGAGTTTTCGTAACGTTAGTGCAACTATTCCAATGGGTTGAAACAACCATGGGGCCAGGCTAGAAACTGACGGTGCTGCGTTTGCACAATGAAGCTATGCAGTTCCGTTTCCAGTTGAATGACCAAGTTTGTGAAACGTTTTGTTCGGGTGGTTAAGACAGTCAAAGGGAAAGACCACTCAATACACTAGAAAAATTGGTTATGATTCACTGCTTCAATTCGCTTCATTTGTTAAGAAGCATCTGCTGCTTGAACGAAATTGTTTTTTTACGCAGCGCTTCTAATTGGTGCCTTTCGATTATTCTATTTTAGTTAAGTGCCTTTTCCAGAACGTCAATTTCGTTCCTTCTACCGCTAAGTGTCTGGAAAGCTCCTGGCAACGGGTATGCTCTCATCGATGGTATCTGCCTAGTCACACAAACGGATCCAAAACAAAAAAATGACCCACCAAAACCGAGAGACACAACAAAGAAGCCGCAATTTTTCTCGGATGGTTTCTCACATGTTTCTCTCACAACAGGAATTGTTGTTGGCGTCAGTTTGGACTCGACATAGAGGGATTGTTGGTACTAAGTATTATTTTCTGTCTAGAAGTATGAACAACACGAGCACCTCTTCCTTAGTCCTCAACAAGACTGCGGGAGTGAGAAAACGATTGGAGATAAAAAGTCAGAATGTATTCCATGATCAAGATGCGATACGCAAATATAAGTGGGTTAATTGAGCGAAAGAGAACGATGTTTGGTCTCTCGGACGACAGCTGTTTGGTATATCCTAGTCAACCACTCCGGAATCGACTCGCCTTGGGCGTCGCGAGGGTGCTTGTGGTGTGACGCGGATCCGCTTAATGAGCGCTGTCCAAAAACTAGACTGGTATGCACAATTAACAAATTCGTCAGTCATTCAGTTTGCATAATCGCTTTCGAGATACATTTTATCCATACGAAGTGAAACGTTGAACATATTTACATTATATTTTCACCAAGTAATGCACGTCTACTCATGAGTAGTTCACACCAATATTCGAATAAAATTAAATATTGGCAGCGGGGTATTCATGGATTATGAGTTAGGATGTTTGTGATAGCAGCATAAGTGGAATTAGTCCAATTATTTCAGAAATAGCAAACGAAGAAGTTGATTTTTATTTTTATCCAACGGGATAACATGACTTTTCCCAAAATCTCCTACCTTGTATTGTGAGTGTTAATGTTATAGTGTTAATAACACAGCGATGTCGGTAGAGAATAATATTCGCCGACGTTTCGGTTACCGTGGGTAACCTTTCTCAAGGCAGG